ATACATTAGTAATTAATCGTGTTCTGAATGTGCATAAATGAGCGGATGTGTTTTTGGTTTTGACTTCTAGCTATAAGCACAATGCGACCCAGATTGGTCTTTTTTTGTGAGCTTTACTTGTTACAGTCTCGTAATGCTTTCGGTTTTCTGTGCGGAAGTACGCAGCCTTTACGATGCTGCCTGTTTTTTGATCATGTGACGGTTACCTCGAAAGACACAATGCTTTTAATCTGGCGCTGACTTTACTGGTGTTGCTTTTCTAGGTGGAGGTCAAGCCTTATGTGCTGGATAACCAAATGTGTGATGAGTGTCAAGGCGCACGTTGTGGCGGCAAATTCGCACCACTTTTCTGCGCTAATGTCACCTGCCTACAGTACTATTGTGAGCAATGTTGGATTCAAATACACAGCCGACAAGGTCGCGAGTATCACAAGCCCTTGGTGAAAGAGGGTGCCGAACGGCCTCGCCCTGCCCTCTATCGTTGGTGATGTAAGCGTCTGTCACCATCCAATGCCGCTTAGACTATCACCGTGCGTGTACGTTCAATCAATGCCTACATTGTCGTCACCACACTTTCTGTACTACCTTCGTCGTCATCATCCGCGTTCCGCGGCTGACCTCTTCCCGTATAGTTTGTAGTTCTGCTCGTGTATGTGCGCGACACCATCCACTCCCTGTGGTCGGCCCTCCTCTACGCCTGCACACCACCTTGCAAACGTGGATGAGACCTATTTCGCTTCCCTCCCACCCCCACTGGCTTGCGCATTTTGAGTTTCTTCCCACCCTCATGTGGTCTCTTACTTCTCTACTTATACTACGTTCAGTAATTGATTAACTTTTGGATACCTATTTTTTTGTTACGCCTTTTGCATGGTTTTTCGGTTATGTGAGCTTTTTATTCTCGTTTCTTTATATGTAGACACCTCTCACTCAAATACACAAGCAAACTATTTTAATTCACACCTTGCACTCACACATGCACATACGACTCTCGTGAACAATCCCTCCGGTTCCCTTAATTACATTGCTGTCAGCCTCACATAACAATTGTTGTTACAAGCACCATCCTCTATCGAGCCAGTTGACCCGCAAATAACTAATAAGCGTTGTTTCTCTCCTCGCCTACAGGACCGATATTTGATTGTTTAATAGCTTCGCGTGACCCTAATTCCCTATTTCTACAAATGTTTAACATGCCAAACATAGGTGGGTGCTCTTTTTCTACTTTCTGTTGTGCAATTTGCGTTTCCTAATCATTTTCTAATCCTTAAAGCCCATTTCAACTGCTCTTTTGATACGCTGGCGGATTTGTGTAGCTTCACAGTGCTCGTGCCACTGGAGTGCGCTCGCGCCTGTTTCTACGTGTGTGCCTTGGCCGACGCGCTATGCGTAGTCTACCCACGACAATCATAGTTTGCGCTGCTCCAACCAACAAGAATAATCCACGGTCTTCGCTACACCCCACTCCTTGCCGCCTAGTTGCTCAGTTTTGCACCAAACACAGCAGACCTTTTCATTATTGATTTGTATTCCATTTTGCTAGCACCCTCACATCACAACATCCTGTTTGGTTTCTTTTGTAATGCACGCGCAGTGTCACCCTGCAGTGTCTTCCTTCAGTCCCCTCCCCCGAAAGCCTGTTTTGTCGCGTTACCTTGAAGCACACGTAACTATGAGCTTATCCCTGCATGCAAGCACGGATTGGTACAGCGTTCATAAAACTTTATTTTTTTGTATTACCTACTCATCCAGCCTTCACTACGGCCACTAAATATTTTTTCAGTGCCACAAAAGTGATCATCCAGATCGGGTACAACAACCACAGTCCAAGAAAGAACAAACCAAACACAAAAGCGCTTCACAAACTGGCGATGTTATGTGCGGCCATGCATGATCGTTTGCAGACGGGACCTATTTTCATAGCTTTTTACTGGAATCCCTTTATATATAAACACCCACTCTCTTCCAAGTCTGTGTCTCCGTTGTCATTTGTGAATTTGTTTTGGTCAGTAATTCAGTTATTTTTATCGTTTTGCACCACTTCCTTTCTAGCGCGGATACACTCACAAATGAAATCCTTGTTGCTGCAGGTTCTGTTTAATTTCCTCTGATACACCCACCTCTGCTCTTTCTTAATGCATTTGTGTCCCGCTATCTCCCGTCAAAACTCACCAGGATATCAAAGAACACAACCACATGGGACTTCCCTCGGCAGTCAATCACCACTAACTGTTGTCGCAACCAGTCCGCCCGTCATAATTCGTTCACGTGCAATTTATTTTATCTGCGTGCTTCTTGATTTGTCTCTCAGTCCTACTCGGAGCAGCAACAATGTGATCTCTTTGGCTCTCTTGTTTCTGTTGGGCATGTATCTGATGCATCTGTATTTTTCTATTTTCATCTGGCAAATGTGATCTCGCTCATCGGCACTCGCTACTAAACACGCGCACACTTACGATAATAACGCATCCAGTGTTCATCATTATACCTACTTTTTTCATCCTTTTCTCCCACGTCACCACCCCATCTCATATGCAATAGACTAGGTTTTGTTTCTGATCAGGAACTGGTCACTTCTCCTCCAACCTGTCTTTTCATATCGCCGGGCCGTCGTTCTGTGCCGTCACCAGCATCTCGTTTATGTTTTTTCTCATAATGCTGCTGGTACGTCTTGGGTTCCTGCTAGTCCAGTGCACACATTCACGTCTCGTCTGTTAATCCTTCCTCTCTCTCTCTCTCGCCCCTCCTACCTATCTGCGCGCGTTTGTTATACACACTAAGGCTGTTTTGACAGAACAGCGCCAGTGTAAAGCCACACCCGCTGTCTGTGTTATATCTTCGCTTTTATTTGCATTACTAAGTTACCTTCAACATCTCGGCCTTACTTTTGCTTTTTGTGAACTGATAAAATCAGCTTTGTAGAACTGGTTGTAAAAGTTGAGCTCCGGTTGAATTAGCTCGTCTAGTGTACTTTCGGATAATGTCCATAGATTTTTAGTTTCTCTGATTTACTTGGTTCGTTCTTTGTAAACATGTTAGTTGGTTGGTACCCCCGAAGGTGTCATTGGAATTTCCTGGATATGGCAAATTTAAACTCAGTGCAGATGTATGAAGGCTGTATTTGCAAGCCAAGAAATGTTTGTACTGTGGGAAAAGTAACTTTTTGGGCAGTTCCACTTCAAAAATTGGATGGTTCATTCAGCCCACCGTGCGAATGTGTATGCTAGTTGAGCGGTGACGGAATAGTACAATGTGATTTATTTGTTTCGTCTCTAAAGCCACCCGTGAGCGGTATTGTCGGCTTGCTTATACCATTGGTGCACCTAAATCCCTCAAATCTCACACCAAAACTGCTCCCACACTCCCGTAGGTCAGTTTGGTGAAGAAATGGAAGGACACCGCCGAGGAAAGATGGGGAAGTCATCTGTGCTGAGGATATGGGCCTCACGAGGAGCTCAGTGACATGGTCTTCACTGTTCTGTAATGTTACCACTGAAACTAGGTCACGAAAAGTCCGGTTGCTGGATTAACTGTCAAGCAGCTAACCTTATCTTCCGTAGCATGTCAGTAAATTGCTTTCATTCTCAAGTTAGCTTAAATTGGCATATGTTCCTGTTTTATGATGCTTTCGTGGCTTTTGATCAAATGAAGTGGTTGCACTTGGATCTTGGCTTTCCTGCCATATGCATCGGTAGACTCGTATCGAACACCTCCCCATTCAAGGACAAAATTCGGAGATTGGGATTAGGCTAGTCGAACTATAAAGAGGCTCGGGAGGTTGTAAAAGTCGAAATAAAGTTTTTAAAGCTGAAGGTTATCCCGATGAATGTATAGTTCACAAGCATCGGATTTTTGGTACGAATAAACTTTTCCTACTAAAAGCACAGTTTTTGAACTAGTCAAATGCGTTTGGCTCCACTCAAACTGCATGAAACCATCAGCTGGTTTTCGCAAATGTACTCCTTAAACTGTATCCTTGGTGGTATCATCAAGTTTTAAGAGCGTGGAATCGGTTGCTGATGCTGGTTTGGCGTTAACAAAGGTACAGTCAGTCAAATGTGTAAAACAAGTTGCTAGCTTCGCACAGTGTGTGTGTATGCAATTCTACACTGCCTAGACTTCTGTCTAGGGCTTTGGTACACTCGTGTATACCTTGAAGCACGGACTAGTTCTTGTTGTGGCTTTTCCGACTGAGAGGGGTGTATTACGATTGTCCCTCCATCACGTTCGAAACCCGTTAGTCAGGTCGGCGCTGCGTAGTAAAGATGCGGGTGACCTCGCTAGGCGTCGACCTCGTAACGATGACTCATCACCCAACCATCGTGTGCATTTTGACCGGATGCAAAGGCGAACTAATGTTTTTAGACGACCTTAACACACGCCCATGCACGCACACGGACGCTGAGGTAATGACTATGACAACGAACACGACGCAGTCGTCATGTTTCCTAAATGTTAACGGTTACGGTCACTTTTACGCACATCCACGCTAACAAGAGCGGCATGGCGACGTAAATGCGTCGTAAGTGTGTGTACATTGGCAACGAAAAGCTGTGTGCTTTTCGAGCTTAACGTAACCTGCGTATGTGCAGCAACTAATTTGGGTCGCATCGTGCTTATAGCTAGAAGTCAAAACCAAAAACACATCCGCTCATTTATGCACATTCAGAACACGATTAATTACTAATGTATACAGTTTGGGTTGTGACACACCGTAGGTTGATTTGCACAAGTTTCACACTGACAGAGCCCCGACTCGGTGTATTTCATCTTTACGATTCAGCAAGTCTACACGGGTATGACTGTGGGTAACTTCGTAGGTGAGGTCGTCTTGCAAAGGTCACTTCGAGATGAGACCACATTTCCAAGAAGCGCAACGAACAGTTACAATAGTATTACATCGTGAGGGTTTAAGAAGGGCGCTAAATGGTTGCGGTTGGTAAGTGCCAGATTCGCCCAAGTGTTAAAACTACCTATTACGTTAGCTAGTTTCCTCCAGAAAACAACTAAACGCTGATTGTGTCAATAAAAGGAGCATGTTTGGGTACAGGAAATTGTGGTTTTTGCCACAACATTTCGTGAATGAGTTGCCCACTCCACCCGCTGAACACGAACAAAGCCTGGTATCAATCCGATCACCGAGTAGTAGGTTCGTGTACAACGATGGGATATGGCAAGTTTCGGTGGCACTGAAATCAAATATGAAAGCGCAAGTATAGGAAGCCACACAGCGACACCAAAGAAGGACACTTTAATAGTCGAACTTTCTTTCCTAAAATGACCCGCGTGGGACAACTTCCTCCACGCAAATGCTATTTGACACTGGAAGACGCTTGTACGATATGTCAATTGTTTTTTACTTAATTATAAATTTAATCGAAGCTATTAGAAAATAGTAAAGACATATTCGCCCTACTTTGGTTTCGCCAAGAATGCCTCCTATCGGAACGTTGTGTCTTTTCATAATGGTACCCACTTGCCAATTTTGGCTCTTCTACCGTTTTTGTCATGTAAGCGTGAGTTGCATGCACTACTGGTTTTATATTACTTTATTGAGTAGATTGATTCCACTTTGTTAGAACTGTCGTAGTATCTTGATGTATTGTTTTGTGGGACAGTCTATCATAAATGATACTGTTCTAAGAACCCCTTCCCTGGACATCATCAAACTGCGTGAGGTATTTAAGCTAGAGTTACCCTAGCAACTTAGATTCATTCTTTTGCT